TCCTGACATCTGGACCTGACACCTGGACCTGACATCCTGACACCTGGACCTGACATCCTGACACCTGGACCTGACATCCTGACATCTGGACCTGACACCTGGACCTGACATCCTGACACCTGGACCTGACATCCTGACACCTGGACCTAACACCTGGACCTGGTACCTGGAACACCAGAACATGGTCACAGAACCTTTGGTGTGACTCTGGAGAACGTCAGCTCTGGTGGGACGCTGATGTTTAAAACGGTGTTGTGAGCGTCCTCAGCGAGCCGCTCCTCTGATTGTGTGTTGGTGACGTTCACTTCCAGAAGTAACCACCGGACCGTGCTGCTGTAGTCCAAGACCGGGTCCCCGTTCAGCCTGAACACACACACACACACACACACACACACACACACACACACACACACACACACACACACTGCTGGCAAAGAGCTGGTGTAAAGTTGGGTTTATAGATGCACAGAGAGAGCAGCATCATTCCCACCCCCAGCACACACACACACACACACACANGCATCACCGTGGGGACTGGGCTTCGGTCCCTGCTGGGTCTCACCTGCTAAACGGTTTCTGGTTCTCATCCATGAACCGGGCCGACATCTGAAGGTTACTATGACAGCGGTTATCAGAACCACAGGCCTTCTGGATGTGGATCTGAGGGTTAGGAAGAAAGTAGAGTCAGAGGTTTGGACCGGTTCTGTGTGGGTTCTAATGTTCTGTGACACAAGGTTTCAGTTTTCTGTCTTTAGTTCCAAACTGGGTTCCTCTCAGTTCTGATCCGATTTCTAGTCAGGTACCAATAACTCAGGCTCTTTTCAAAAAAGCTGGTCCTGTTCAGGTTCTGGTTTAGGTTCTAAAGGGTTCTGTTTGGGTTTGACCTCAGATCTCTAACAAGCTCACACTGAATGGTACCATGTTCCCTTTCTTTGTTTATTCGGGCCAGATTCTGACCCTTCTGACCCAGTTAGACCGTGGTTCTGATGCATTCTTACCCCTTTGAGTTCTGTTGGGTTCTGACTAAAGAATCACATCTGTCTGATTTGATATTAGTGGTTCTTGTTGGTTCTGATGTGTTCTGATTGAGAAGTCTGCCTCCTGTCTGTTGAAGCTCTCCTGGGTTCTGACCTGGGTTCTGACGGGCCGTGGAGTCCGGTTGAGAACAGGGAGGTGTCTCAGGTCTTGAACGTCGTCTCGTTTCTCCGGCAGCTTCTCCCACAGCGACGCGTTCAGGGAGAACACCAGAGGTTCCACTTTGTTCTGGATGGCTCTCTGTGGAACAGATAAAGAACAGAACCTGAGCGGTTCTTCTCATGTCGGACCCGTCAGCTCATCAGGCGGCTGCAGGATTGTCTGCGGGAAGAAGTGGAGCYGAAAACAGGACATGATGCTGGAGATTACCAGCAGGAATGTGAAATCAACAGGATTAACGGTTCTGACCCATAACCAGCTTCAAACAGCCGGCCCAGTGTGGTGTTCTGAAACACATCGGGCCTCGTGAGTCAGAACCAGTCGTCCAGAACATCAAAGCAGGAGAAGAGGTGAGGGATACACGGTGTTCGTTATTTTTACCTCAACCACCAGAGAAACTCGTTTACCTGCAGCTACAGATAAAGTCCACCCTGAAACTGGTCCATCTGCACCCGGTCTCTGCAGGGACCTGAAGTCCACCCTGAAACTGGTCCGCTCTGCACCCGGTCTCTGCAGGGACCTGAAGTCCACCCTGAAACTGGTCCGCTCTGCACCCGGTCTCTGCAGGGACCTGAAGCCACATCAAAAACTGTTGAAAGTGGATCTGTTTTCAGGATGTGTCGGTCACCAGCAGACTGATTAACGTCTCATCACAATCAGTCAGATTTATCTGAGCCAGCAGAACTTCCTTTGATCCACTGTAATCAGAGGTTTCCTGATTCAAACACAAACTCTACAGAACCTCTGACGGCACCTCCCCACCAGAGGTTCTGATGAACAACAAATAAAGATTTAATACTTCAAGGTTGTTCATCTCTGTTCTGTGGATGGTACCATATGTACCTCAACGAGTCGACTGATTCACGAGCAGCGAAAAGCCAACCGGATCTGATTCATCCTCTAATCATGATCCAATTCATCCTCTAATCATGATCCAATTCATCCTCTAATCATGATCCAATTCATCCTCTAATCATGATCCAATGCATCCTTCAATCACAATCCTATTCAGCCTTTAATTACGATCCAATTCATTTTTAATTATGATCTGATTCTTCCTTTAATCGTGATCCGATTTATCCTTTATTTATGATCCGATTCATCCTCTAATCACGATCCAATTCATCCTTTAATTACGATCTGATTCATCCTTTATTTGTGATCTGATTCATCCTCTAATCACAGTCTGATTCAGCCTTTAAGATACAATTTATCTTTTAATTGCAATCTGATTCATCCTATAATCACGATTCGATTCATCCTTTAGTCACGATCCAATACATCCTTCAATCACAATCTGATTCAGCCTTTAATTAAGATCCAATTCATCTATTAATTACAATCGAATTCATCCTTCAATCACGAGTCGATTCAGCCTTTATTTACAATCCAATACATCTTTTAATTACGATCTGATTCATCCTTTATTTATGATCCGATTCATCCTCTAATCACAGTCTGATTCAGCCTTTAAGATACAATTTATCTTTTAATTGCAATCTGATTCAGCCTTTCATCATGATCCGATTCAGCCTTTAATCACGATCCAATTTATTCTTCAATTGCGATCCGATTCAGCTTATAATTAAGATGCACTTCAACCTTTAATCGTGATCCGATTTAGCCTTTTATAATATGATTCAATATGTTTTTTCAACAAAGTGAGATTCAGTATAACACCACAACAAAGCGAATAAATGATTCTGTCAGTCTTTGAAACATGCTTTGTTTAAAATTTACATTTTTATAAAACTTAACTCACAATAATAAACAAACAAAAATCAATAAATAAATCTACCACCAGCAAAACGTATTTTCTACTGTACTAACAATATGTAAGATTAGTTTATGTCCATGAAACTGGGTGAAGCACAATTACTGCAGTGCTGTTGCAGTTCTCCTCGTGGACACTAGGTGTCCCTAAAAAAACCCACTATCCATCCATCCATCCATCCATCTATCTATCGTGAGGATGGTGTGCCTGCAGTTACGTCAGCAGCCAGCAGGTGGCGCTCTGCATGTTTGTGACTCACCTGAATTCCCACTCTCAGAGTTTCACACTTCCTTTTGGGCAACGACAGGAAACTGGAGTACACAGTGTTTCCCTGGTCATGGAAATAGAGGCGGGGCTTGAGGCTGGTGACATCAGCGGTCACGGTGAAGTGGACGGCTGAGGGACGGAGACAAACAGCGTCCATACATGAAACATACAAAGGTTTAAAGACAGCAACACGTAGCTTCAGCTGAGTTTAATCACTGATTCTTTCAAGAGAAGAAAAAAATCTCTAGTTTCCAAAACATTTGGTTCAGCTGTCAGAAATCATTTCACTGTGAAATGGAAGAGAGACAACAATCACTCCCTGAGGAACTCCTCAGGATGTTTGTAGGACGCATTAAAACAAATTATTCTACTGCTTCAACAAAATACTGTGAACAAAAACAACCTCAGTACTGACTGATCTGAATTTAATTCAGCAGATGTGTTGGTTAACCTTTGACCCAGAACCCCTGGACTCTGATTGGTCAGATTAATGACTCAGAACATCTGGACTCTGATTGGTCAGATTAATGACTCAGAACATCTGGACTCTGATTGGTCATATTAATGACCCAGAACACCTGGACTCCAATTGGTCAGAATAATGACCCGGAACCCCTGGATTCTGGTCAGATTAATGACTCAGAACCCCTGGACTCTGATTGGTCAGATTAATGACTCAGAACATCTGGACTCTGATTGGTCAGATTAATGACTCAGAACATCTGGACTCTGATTGGTCATATTAATGACCCAGAACACCTGGACTCCAATTGGTCAGAATAATGACCCGGAACCCCTGGATTCTGGTCAGA